ACAGGCCGATCAGCTTGCTCTCTGTAGTATACAAGCTATTTACAAAGGTAATTGCTATCAGAGTAAAGAAAACATTAGAATTCAATCAACCAAAGGAACAAGCAGGATTTCGAACAGGCTACTCAACAATTGACCACATCCATACTATCAATCAGGTAATAGAAAAATGCTCAGAGTATAACCAACCACTATACATAGCCTTCATAGATTACGAGAAAGCATTTGATTCAGTAGAAATATCAGCCGTCATGCAGACACTGCGGAACCAGGGCGTAGATGAAAAATATATAAATATTCTGGAAGAAATCTACAGGGGATCAACTGCTACCATAGTGCTTCATAAACAAAGCAACAGAATACCAATCAAGAAGGGTGTAAGGCAGGGGGACACAATCTCCCCAATGCTATTTACCGCTTGCTTACAGGAAGTTTTCAGAAGCCTAGAATGGGAACAGTTAGGGATAAATGTTAATGGAGAATACCTTAGTAACCTGCGCTTCGCCAATGACATTGCATTGCTGAGTAACTCAGGGGACGAATTGCAACTCATGATTAAGGAGTTAGACAAGGAGAGCAGAAAGGTGGGTCTTAAAATTAATCTTCAAAAAACGAAAGTAATGTACAACAACCTCGGAAAGGAGCAGCACTTCGAGATAGGTAATAGTGCACTTGAAGTTGTAAAAGACTATGTCTACTTAGGGCAGGTAATAACCGCAGAGCCGAACCACGAGATTGAAGTAACTAGAAGAATAAGAATGGGGTGGAGCACATTCGGCAAGCACTCCCAAATTATGACAGGTAGATTGCCACTATCCCTCAAGAGGAAGGTATATAACAGCTGTATCTTGCCGGTACTTAGCTACGGAGCAGAAACCTGGAGACTTACAAAGAGGGTCCAGCTTAAATTGAGGACGACGCAGCGAGCAATGGAAAGAAAAATGTTAGGTGTAACCTTAAGAGACAAGAAGAGAGCAGAGTGGATTAGGGGACAAACGGGGGTTAGGGATATCATAGTTGAAATAAAGAAGAGGAAATGGACATGGGCCGTGCATGTAGCGGCAGGATAACCGCTGGTCATTAAGGGTAACTAACTGGATTCCCAGAGAAGGGAAGCGGCTTAGGGGAAGACAGAAGGTTAGGTGGGCAGATGAGATTAAGAAGTTTGCGGGTATAAATTGGCAGCAGGAAGCACAGCACCGGGTTAACTGGTGGAACATGGGAGGGGCCTTTGTCCTGCGGTGGACCTAGTCAGGCTGATGATGATGATGATGGTGACAGGGTCCCGTACGTGATTATGCTTGTGACTAACGCCTGGATCATTTTCGTGCAGTCTTCTTCTTTTCGTCTGTGGCTTTTGCTTGTCACCCTTTCTATCAGCGACTAACTTGTTGCATAGGTTTCTGAACTTTTTAAACTCTTCTCCCCCGGCCCAATCCTTTTGAATAAGCAGTCCAAGAGTGCAGTGTTGAAACCTGAGGAATTACGATGCCTCTTACCTTCACTTTCGGGTCTGCGGCAGCCTCTTGAGCGCTTTCTTGAACATTTAGAGTTCAGACTTTTCTGGTGTGCACATAAGTCCACGTGCTCCCAGATATCTTTGTTTTCGGTTGACTGCTTCTTGCAGAGCGTCTTGCTGTTGGCCTGTGGATCCCCTCGTAGTCCAGATGGTGAGGTCGTCAGCATATATTGGAAAAGGGCAGTAGTTGCAACTCTTGACGGTTCATATTCAATCGTTGAGGCTATATATGCATTCAGTGTTTTTATATGAATATATCTTAAAATAGACTCATATTTATCGAACTAACACCCAGTTTGATTGAATCAGTGCTTTCATTTAAGTAGTTGACGAAGACCAAGCAATACTTCACGCGACTTTTGCCGGGTTTTTCATGTTTTGTTTGTGTTGATTTATTACTATGGTGCCGTAGCATGTTAAAGTTCGGCTGTTCATGCAATGTAGTTACCCAATTCATTACTCTGCTGTGTAGCTTACTCATGCAGTGTTTTACCTGTCCTTCTTTATTGTTTGTATTGTTAAGGCCAAAGCCTTAGATGTCTGAGCAAATGTGAAAATTGACTGACTGCGTCCCATGCCTGCGGCATCAACATGTGATGAAAAAAATTGTCTTCTTGTGCTCATAATGCATTGATACAGAAAATTTAATCTTTCATGCTTTCTCAGTTTGCACAAGCTTTGTACAGTTTTTTAGGTGCATCCTCTGCTGTGCCGTCACCCTAGCAAGCTTCAGTTAGTAGCGCTGTAGTCTTTGTTCCAAGCAACGGATGTGTACTTGAAGTTTTTCAAGCTGTGAAAAACTGCATGTAGCTTTGTCTGTTTGGAATTTTATTTCTATACTTTTGCTCATCTCAGTGCTTGCGTAAAAAAAAAACGGCAAGCATTTCACTCATCGAGCTTCTTTATTACAAGTACGGCCGCTGGATAAAACACAAGCTGCGGCATGTTGCTTGCCGCCGAAGCAGTCAGATGGGCCCATTGACTTCCAGTAATAAGGCTGGACGACGCATCCCCGCTCTCCCGTGCGGGCGCTTGTGAAGCCACTGGAAAGCGCCTTCGGTGTCCCGGAAGCTGGTGTTTTCTGCGTTCTAAGCACGTAATTTGAATATTATCTTGTGTCAGTTGTTGTGGTGATCATATTTTCTGTTTTTTTTTAATACAAGACACTCGCAGTCGTCCAACGCTACACGAAAAAATTGGGGGACCCTGAAGGGGGGACGCGGGTCTTAGAATGGTGAAAAATGGTCAAACAGTCGATTTTCAGAAAATGCGGTATTTGAAACTTTTTGACCTATAAGCACGTGTGCTCAAATTGTGAACATGCCCCGCCGCGGTGGTCTAGTGGCTAAGGTACTCTGCTTCTGACCCGCAGGTCGCGGCATCGAATCCCGGTTGTGGCGGCTGCATTTCAGATGTAGGCGGGAAGGTTGTGGACCCGTGTGCTCGGATTTTGGTGCACGTTAAAGAACCCCAGGTGGTTGAAATTTTTGGAACACTCTACTACAGGGTCTTACATAACCATATGGTGGTTTTGGGATTTTAAACCCCACATATCAATCAATCAATCAATCGAGACAGCCGTTATCGGCGCCTGCTGCAGAGCAAGCAGCGCATACGGCGCTCCGTCTCTTCGAGACTCGAAACGGATCACTTTGCTTAGCCTTCAGTAGTTCTTTGCTGCTGAAAGCGATTCCCATTCTCTAAAAAGGGGGGTGGCTGGTATCACGCCCACTCCGGACCCCAGCAACCGCTGCTTGCGTCGGCATCACTGGTTCGCTCTCCACATCGTGGCTTTGAAAAGCTCCCCAGCTCGGCTGCGTCGCGGCGCCCCGCTTACCTGGATAACAGCCAAGGTTCGTCCACATGGGGACTCACCTTTTTCACCGAACAGCGGCGAAGCCGCTTTTTCGTCCCCGACGCTTGCATGTGCAAAGGCACTACGAGTGGCTGTTGGACTGGATCAAGGTTCTCGGTAGACAACAGGGGGCACGAGATAGCGGGTCAGCTACCACGTCGGTTGTGTGTTCACCACAACAGAAGGTGACCACACGAACCGATCCAAAAGGGTACCCATCGATAGAGGCAAGGGCGTTGTTCAACGCGGCATCCGCCTGAAAAAGTCAGCGGACAAAAATGCCGCGAAGCAGGCATGTTGTGACAAGACCGAATCGCACAGGCAAACTGACTTGCTAAGAGCAGTCAAAAGCTTTGAGCTTTTGATACCGCTTTAGGCGCCAGTGTAATGTACACATATCCTGAAGAAGTACGGCCACTAGCATGGGTTTGGTCTTAGCAAGCCGCAGGGCCGCGTTTGTCGCCTCTGCGCACGTGTGTTCGGGCAGCCATGGCGCCGAGTGCAGCGTGGCAAGAATACGGTACTGCTCTCAAACAAGTCCCAACACTTTATTGCCTGCGGCAATGCTGAAAAAGCTGTACAGAGCCCTTTGCAAAAAAGGGTGGTGGGAAAGCGAATTGGTCTATTCACGCCACGGGTGAAAAGTACTACACAGGGTGCCGCGAGCACGTCTCTGTGGGCAAAAGTGATTTACGGTGACACCGGTACCAAAGGGCCCGGTCGCTCGAGTGAGGACAAAATCCGCTGATGTTGGTCTCAAGAAGTGCGGGTCGGCGTAGTACGACCACGCGCACAGACACCGCACTGCTCTTTGGCCGAGCATTTGTAAGGGGTGACGAAAGGTAAGTATTCGCCGTCGGCGCAAGTCATCGTTGGTGAAATTCGTGTGAGCCCCAAACAAAAGGAGCCGACAGACGGAAAACAAATGGGTGCTCACTCTTGTCATTCCGGAGAGATTCTCACTCACTCCTGACGCATGCCCGCGAAACGTCCAGAGAGAGTTCGTGCACGGCGCCACAGTCAACATCCGTTACCGGGTAGGGGGGTTAATGGTCACTCCTTCTCCTCCAGCGCCACAGACCATAGAGGAGGGGAGATTCATGCTAGACATGAGAACGGCAGAAATAGGTAGCGGGCGAGCCTCAATTTGCACATCGTAGTGCTGTCCATAATCACTATCCAGCCAGAGTGCTTTCCCTGGGAGACATTTATGAACATCGGTCATGGTTTTGTAATCATCACGAAGATTATGTGCTTTACGATTTATGTCACATATAATTCATGCTGCTCAGTGAGTCGTAACCTTGCAAGGAGCCTGGGATTTTAGTGTGTCATCATTTGGCCTCTCAAGGCATTGTCGAGAGTGAGGGTAGTTGCCTCAAAGTCTCCAGCTGCTATCTTTACTTAGCTTTAATGTTGATGTACACTCAAGCCAGTATAACGAACTTGGATATGTCGAAATACTGGTTATAACAAAATAATTGAAATATTGTCTTGTAATAGATATAATGTTGGAAATGATTCTTCATAAGGAATTTTTAATATAATGAGCTTATTTTTATGTAAGATGCAACTGTGTTATAATGAGGTTTGAGTATAGTGGCATTTGTATGCTTGTATCCTGGACAGATCTCACAGTTTACGAGCGGCTGCCTATTATGTCCATGGATTCAATGCCTTCTTTCAAGCCCGCTACAATGATGCCAAGTAAGTTGGGGCTTATGTAGCTGAGTTAGAATGATATTCATAGCATTGGATTGTTACATGTGCTCACTTTTTAAGAAGGTACTGTATTTTCTACTTTGATTGTAGCTGCTTTCATGTATTGTTTTTATTTATGTTCATTGTGTGATGAGCCAAAAAAGGCAAAGTGCTCATATTAAATGCTAATGATGCCACATTTACATTGTGTCACAATCTTGGTCTTGTGGTGGTGTCAATACTCAATGAATTCACTGTTTCCACCGTGTGTGAGCAGTGTGTGCTATCTCAGAAGCCATGAAAGGGTATTTGTGTGATTGAGATGCATGCAGGTATGCGAAGCTGCTAAATACTGTTAGATACCACTTTGTAGCTTTATCCATGCTGCCCAGTGTCAGTGCAGTACCCAAAGCCTTCACAGCATACAATCACAAGTGCAGTGTGTTAGTGCAAAGTAGAAGATAGCGCAAAAGTTGTGAATATATTTCTACAAATACATGTGTGCAGAAAGTATGCTCTAGAATGCCTTTTTAGCTGCTGCAGCAAATGGAATTTTTCTTGACTGTATCAGCTCATATCAGTTGTAAAGATATGCAATGTTTAACTACACACTGTGACTTTGTATATCAAAGACGAAGCAATGCTTGTCATCACATTTACACATGCTTTTTATCTTATTTGTTTATATATTTCTTAAATACTGTGGACACTAAGTCCAAGCAGGGAGGGCAATAAAATGGCACAATAGTGAACATGTAGGAGAACAAACAAAACAAAAACAATGATACAGAGTCAATATGTTTGGCAAGATGCTATAAAACAAATTAATAATAATCAGCATTATTATGTCAATGATGTTTTCATTGCACAGCCCTTTGTCTCTGGAGCATATATAAAGAGCTGCGTGCTGTGCAGGCGCTACTTGCGAGAGACGCTCAAGATGGCGAATGCTGAAGACCTGAACCGTCTCACTTCATGCTCACTGGTGCTCCTGGGGCACATCTTCTTCTCGTTGGGCAACAGTCGTGAGAGCATGAACATGGTCACACCAGCCATGCAACTTGCCAGCAAGATCCCCGACGTGCACGTGCAGCTCTGGGCATCTGCCCTCCTTAAAGGTGAGTTCCCCTGCCGGCCACAAGAGTGGACAAGAAAAGCAGGCTCAGGGCCAGCTATTTGTGCCTTGTGTGCCTTTGCAAGTGTTATAGGAGTACAAGGGAGACTTTATCCGTCTATCCTACTGAGTGTGGGAATAGTGGCTCGCCCGCCGCCATTGCGCGAGCTTTGCCGCCTATTTCTGCAGTCCGCATGTCCTGACATGACTCTCCCCTCCTCCATGGTCTGTCACAGTAGGAGAGCACGAGTTACGATTAACCCCTCTCACCTGGTAGCAAATGTCGACTGTGGCGTCGTGCGTGGAGTCGCTGGGGACGTTTTGTGCGCTCGCTGCGGGAGTGAGACAGAATCTCTTCGGGACAGCGAAGAGTGAACAAACATTTCTTTTCCGTTCGTCGGCTGCTTTTGTTTGGGGCTCGTTCAGACTTCGCCAACGGCGCCTAGCACCTGCGGCGAACGCTTACCTTTTGTTGCCCCTTTCAAACACTAGGCCGAACAGCGGTGCGGTGTCCTAGTGCATGGTCGTACTATGCCGAACCGTACCTCTCGAAGCCAACGCAAGCAGAGTTTTCCCTTGCTCGAGCCAACGGGCCCTTTTGTCTTGGTGTCACCGTGAATCACTTTAGCCCACAGAGACGTGCTCGAGGCACCCTGTGTAGTACTTCTCACCAGTGGCAAGGATAAGCTTATTCGCTTTTCCGCCGTCCCTTTTGCAACTGGTTCTGCACAGCATTTTTGCTGTAGCCGCAGGCAATAAGGTGTTGCGACCTGTTGAAAGCAGTACCGTGTTCTTGCCACGCTGCGCTCGGTGCCATGGCTGTCTGAACGTGGTTGTGCAGAGGTGACGATTAACGCGGCCCTGCGGCTTGCTAAGACCGAACCCATGCTAGTGGCCATACTCTTTCGGGATGCCTGTACACTACTCTGGCGCCCAACGTGTATACACTGGCACCCAACACGGTATCAAAAGCTCAAAGCTTTTGACAGCTCTTAGCGAGTCAGTTCGCTTGTGCCATTCGGGCTTTTTGCAACATGCCTGCTTCATGACATATTTGTGAGCTCATCTTTTTAGGCGGATGCGGGGTTGCACATTGAGGCCACTGCCTCTATCGACGGGCACACTTCTGCACGCGTCTGTGTCGTCACCCCCTGTTGTGGTGAACACACAATCAATGTGGTAACTGCCGTGTTATCTCGTGCCCCCTGTTGTCTGCTTAAAACCTTGATCTTGGTCTGACAGCCGCTCACAGTGGCTTTGCACACACGGCCTTTGCATATGGCGGTGAGGGCAAAAAGGGCGTGTCTTCATGCGGATGAACCTTGGCTGCTAACCAGGTAAGCGGCGCACTGCGTAGCGGCCGAGCGAGGGAGCTTTCTGAAGGCCATGGTGCCAGAAGCGAACCTGTGATACTGACGCACGCGGCAATTGCTGCGGTCCTGAGTGGGCGCAATACCAGACTCACCCCTTTGGGAGAATGGGAATCACTTTCAGCAGTGAAGAGCTACTGTAGGCTCAGCAAAGTGATCCGTTTCGAGTCTCATAGAGACGGAGCGCCGTTACGCTGCTTGTTCTGCAGCGGGTGCAAATACGACACTGGAATCAGCATGTGTCGCTGAGTCCCCTGCGGATTCATTTTGCTGGACCATGACAGGCTCCTGCTGAACTATATAGCCACCGATGAGAAGTCTGTGAATCCATTCAAGGTGGTTATGCCCAGAGGTCTGAGAGCCACACTGTTACGATCCTCCCACAACGAACTCATGGCCAATCACCTGAGTGGCTTGAAAGGTTTTGCAAACTGAGCAACATTGTGACCTGGCCCGACACGAAGCATGACATTTATCGCTATTGCCGTGCCTGTCACGTCCGACAAACTGTGAAACTAAGGGTTGGCAAGTCGCCCGGTCCTATGAACTGAATGTGAGTAAACGTTCGTGGTGCGTAGTTGCTGAAAGATCCCCTTTTTAGGAAAACTCAGCCGTGGCCACATTGCAGATTTGGAACCCTTTGTCACGGTATGGCGAGCTCTCACCAGTGCCCAGTGTCACTTCGCGCAAGCAATGGAGCACGCCTGAGGCGGCGGACCGCATTCGGACCCCGCACCGTTATAATCTGAAGAAGCAGTCATCTTCGTGATTTCGCTCTGGACTTTTTCCGCAACCGAAGGCCCTAAGTTTACTGTCTAGCATCAGTATAGTTTAGCTACTTTACGACCTGTTCTCGTATAGAATTTGGCACTGCCAAGTTTGTGGCCAGTGTCTCTTTCTTTAAGTGTTCATTTGAATTTTATGTTTTTATGTTCTTTTCGCCAGATATTGTGTGTCATTTTTGCTCTGTTTAACACTTCTTGTGCTGTATTTCGTCTGTCAGCGAAGATAGTTGTAATACAAGTTCCTGTGTGGTGGGGAGAGGGGCGAAGGACGCTTTGCGCCTTTGCTCGCGCAGTCATCGACGGTGTGCGTGCGTGCTTATGTGCGTGTGTATGTGTGTGACACTTCTGTGCGTGCCCGGGAAGAGTGGGCGTCGCATCGACGTGGACACTAGAGGTGCTGAGAGCCCTGACCTGCTGACCTCAGACGGTCTGGCTGTACCTTGCTCTCGGCCATCACCGAGAAGCCATGCAGCCCTTTACACCTTGGCTCCCGCGCAAGGCTAGCTGAAAGCAGCTATATGCTGCCTGCTAATGCCAGGATGCCACGCAGCCAATCCTGGTTCAGCCTTCCTGATTCCTGGAGAGACACGGCTTCCCATCGAGGTCCTCCATCCGAACCACCACAGAAGTGGCATTCGTCAAACTCGAAATCCAATCGTTAAGCCAGGAGCCGTCAAGGAGCTCCTTCCATGCCTCTGACCTCGCATACGGGCATCACACCCAGCGGACATTACCACGCTTTGCGGCCCCTCCGCGCGGTGGACATTATCCCGCTTCAGCACCGCGAACACTGGCCTTATTTCCCTTACTCCCTTTCGCAAACATGTTATAGTGTCATGTGTTTATTTTGTTATTTATATTTTCTACTTTGTAATTTTTTTTAGAAGTAGTTACAGGGCTGGACTGAGGTTAGCTGTTGCTAATAGCAGTGTCATTTTAGTTGCATGGGTGACGTCCGGCTGCCTTTGCAGACCGTTAAAGGGCAGATTTAGGAGAGGGGAACGTTGGAATTAAGGCTAGCCTGCCGTCATCGCACAGGCTTCGCCGCCTATTTGTGCTGTTCTCATGTCCTGACTCTCTCCTCCTTCGCAGTCTATTGCGCTAGGGGAGCAGGAGTGACGATTAACCTCTTACTTGGTAGTGGAGATCGACTGTGGCGCCGTGCGCGAAGTCTCTCGGGACGTTTCGCACGCTTGTCGGGAGTGAGTCAGAATTTCTTGCGGGCAACGTAGGGTAAGGATGCATTTTTCTTTTCCGTCCCTCGGCTCCTTTTGTTTGAGGTTCGTACGGACTTCGCCAATCCGCATTGCGCCAGTGGCGTACGCTCACATTTCTTTGCCCCTTTTGAATGCTAGGCTGGAGAGCTGTGCGGTGTCTTTGCGCGTAGTCTCACTATGCCAACTCGTACCTCTCGATGCCAACTCGAGCGGATTTGGCCGACACTCGAGCGACTAAGCTCTGTTGTTCTGGCGTCATCGTAAATCGCTTTTTCCCAAGGAGATGTGCTCGCGACAACTTATGTAGTACTTCTCACCCGTGGCAGGAATAAGCCTATTTGCTTTCTCGCTGCCCCTTCTGCAACGGGCTGTGTACTGCATTTTGGTGTTGCACAACTAAGTGTTGCGACCTGTTGAAAGCAGTACTGTGTATTTGCCACGCTAAGACTGGACCCCCGCTAGTAGCCATACTTTTCGGGATACGGGTACACTACAGGAGGAAGAAATAATTATAAAGATGGAACTCCCGTTAGAGCGGGTGTCTGTAGACATATATATAATGTCACAGAAAATACAAAAGCAACATGTGGCCAGGGTGTCTTTCAATCTGAAAGACCTGGCAAACCCGGAAAAGTCAAGGAATTTAGACTCATCTGGAAAATTCAGGGAATTTCTGAAAAACCTGGCCAGGTCATCGAAACTGGTGACAGTCTTTGTGTCCATCACAAAATAAGCATCACCATTGATCAAAGCTTAAAAAAAGTCGCACCTTCGCTGCAACTACTAATCATGAACCTTTTTATTTGGAGTAAATAATAATAAACAACTGAAAAGCTAGACAGGGCATGAAATAAAAAAAAGGGCAGCGCATAACTGTTGCTTCTTAAGTGTAAATGCTAAAGTATACACCTACCAAAAGAACACAAAGTTTACTGATGTTTTGCCACTTCATACGGGAGCCTTGTTCACAATAAAATCTATAGGAAAGGCACAGCATATTTAGGTATGCTTAAGTATGTGACGTAAGCACTGAGAGTACATTGTCAAAAGCGTCTTATCACACCTGTTCAGCGTATATGTGCAGTCAACTGTATGTGCAAGGATTCGAGGTGCAGGCATGATGCAGCCATTTCTATGGCTAGAACACGTGCACTTGACCAGTCAATTTGGTGGCTTGTAGATTTCACTAGTTTAGCCAGGGAATTCAAGGCCATGCGTCATTTTGTGATGTCATATTTGCGTTGTTTAACCCTTTTCTTGAAATCACTGGTCTCACCTATGTACTGGTTGTCACAATCGTGGCAGCCTATGGCATAAACAAGACCGGGAAAATTTCCGCTCAGCAACTTGTCTTTCATGTTGACTGAAGCATTCCTATGCTTGCATGTTGCTACATGCACTATTTTGATGTCTGTTGCTTCTACATATTACACAACATATCTGACTTTCGAACCACAACATTACTCACTAGTTTGTAAATTTGTGCATGTTTGTCTTGGCCACGATTTAGGCTTGGCTCGGGTTAGGCCAGAACTGCCATCAGCTGAAGCTTGCTGGGCTATATGATGCCGTTTAATAATATTAGTCGTATTACTCTTAATATTATTGGCAAAGCAGAGGCAAACATCCTCA